ACCAAATCTTAGATTGTCTGATTCGGTCTGATATCCTACACATCATATGACCCCTTTAATACTATTAAATAATAGAGAAGCAAGATTAACTAAGCAGTAAGTAGTAGCAAATTTAGGACAAAGGTAGTTCCTTATTAGATATTTGATAATTACTAAAAAAATGTATCCTCATTGAGATACTTGCGAACTATGACCAATTAATAAAGAATAACCAATGAATTACTAATCACAACAGTGACGCCTTAAAAGTGAACAATTGGGTTCTTTGTGGAAACTAATTTATGAATATGATATCCCCCAAATAAGTCGGCTACAGGTTGAAATTGTGACTAGGCCTACTACTCTTACCAAAGGATGGATGTTCTCTGTTTATTTCAAACAAAAACATAAAATAATAATAAAAATAATTCATTTAGAAACGTTAATAATTAGGAAGTGATTGAGTTAGTTCACAATTATGAGCTAGTTTGTGTCAGTTCAGTATGTCTCCGACTCCAAAAGACCTATACCTTTAGTGACAGTAGGCTGGGGAGGACTTTTCTTGAATATAAATTATTCACATCCTTAATGAAGGCATCGACTGCATTTATATTGTGTTAAGTACAAAACCAAATATTCCAGATTACAGTGTCTGGTAAAATATCACTAGTGCCACACACAAATGTATGTGTCAGATATAAAATATGTTAAATAACTTATTCAATTACTTAGTAATTATTAATGGTTAAGGTGTTTTTCACTTTAAAATGATGGTCCAGATCACTAGTAGCTCCTGCAGGCTGACAAGGTAACGCTTGAGAAATTAGTGAGAGGCTAATGTATTTTTCACTTTAAAGCTAAAGTGCTCCTAAGGAACTACTAGTGATCTGGACCATTATTTTAAAGTGAAAAACGTGTTAACCCCTCAGTAATTACTCACAAGTAAATTAATAATTATTTAACATTTTATATCTGACACATACTGTACAGTCATACATTTGTGTGAAGCACTAGTGATATTTTACCAGTAGGTCTTGTGGAGTGGGATACATTGATACTGAACTGACACGAAGCAGAGATCATAATTGTGAACTAATTCAATCATGAGCTTGTCAGCATCACTTCTTAATTATTAACATTTTAAAGTGAATTTTCATATTTATTATTATTCTATGTTTAAGTTTGAACAACCATCCTTTGGTAAGAGTAGTAGTCACAATTTTAAAATGTAGCCGACTTATTTGGGGGATATCAAATTCATAAATTAGTTACCACAAATTACCACAAAGTTTGCTGTGTGCGATGATGTCCGGTTAACCTCCTTGTGAGGAGTAAGTTGTTAGCGGTATGGGCAGGTAAATGTATCAGTAGTGTGCCCTTTTTAATCAGACTGTGGTGTATAGTGGGAGGCACACTTTTTATTTTACTATTCGTTTTCTCCTGTTTATTGGCTAGGAGGGAGGTAAGAATTGTAACTTTATTTTGTTCTTTTGTATAGGGAAGACCATTTTAAAACTAGCCAGAGAACCCTTTTTGTTTGTTGTTTTGGGCCGACTAACCCACTGAGTCTGAGCTACGTGTCTTTCCCTTGATGGAGTGAAAGAAACTTAAAAATGGCAAAATAAACCTCTTTTTTTCTTTTTGAATAGATTTCAATGTGTTGTGTGTTTGTGGGAGCAAGGGACGGAACTCTGGGCGACCCTCGATACACGGGCGTCACTCTCCATGTTCCGTTTAGTTGTTTGATTTGTTGCACGTAACAAGCATACATTTTTATTGAGATTTGTATGCATGCATTTAGCAGTTACCCAAAAATAACAAGTAGTTATCCAGTTATGCAAAATGAAAAAGTATCCAAAAATAAAAAGTGGAATATGGTATTCATTTTATGAGTTCATGCATTCCTTGGGAATAAAACCCATGGCCTTGATGTTGCCACACAAACTATTTATTTGCTGTTTGTAAGGAGTATGAGTAGTCAAGATCGTGTTGGTGTGATTTGATCAGGTGTTGTGCAAGAACATCTGTTCCTGATGTGCCGTATCACAGATGAATGTGACTGTAATCTCAAAAGCCAAGAATGTTCTTGGTGGATTATTATTATTGCATTATATTTCAGCTCTGCTCTGAGAGCATTCATTTACCTCTCAAAATCAAGTGCCTTATTTTCCATGTCTTTAATAGGGAGAAACACTCTGCTCTCTTCATTAGTCAGATGCTGTCGAGGCACCATGAAGCCAGATGGCATGTTGTGTTATCTGGGACTTTAGCTAGCAACCACAGGGGAAAGCAGTGTGTTTTATTATGATCTGTCCTAGTTTTTTTTTCTCTTGTGAACTTTTATTTTGAAGTTCAGTATCATGTTTAGCATGGCCTTGTTAGTTCCATGCTGCAATTAGTGAATTCTGATTAAATACATGTTTGTGTTGGCAACACATAAATCACAAATATTTCTTTATATTATAGCATGTGTTTTAGTAGTGCTAGATGTTTTTGGAGGCACTTTACAACAGGACTTTTTGGATATCTTCAGCCACTGAAGTTAGAGCTCAGGATAGTTGCTACTGAAAGGTTTGAGACTGTGTTCTTGTGAATTCATCTGCAAATTAGTGTTTACTCTGATTCCAGAGTAAAAAAGAAGCAGGCCTACACTTCAGCATAGTTTTAACTACTATTCTACCGAAATAATATACTTAAGTTCGAACTGAATTTAATGTTTTTGTGCACTTAATTGCATGCTAATTACAATTTAATGACAAGGTATTGTAGTTTAAATTGACATTAAATGCAATTATCTAAACGTTTAGATGAAATATGGTTAAACTGTACTGCCGAATGCAATGACAAGCATTTATGGTAAACTAAAATATATATTTTAATGTAGTTTCTATTGAAACTTTTGTCATGTTTTAACATACTATATTTGTAATTAAACATTTAATGATGAAGTTACAATGGAGTACATTTAAAATATATTTATTTAAAATGTAATTTTGAATAACACACTACAGTATACACTAAATTATTATCAAGTACTTTACATGCACTTTAGTATGTTAGTCACCACAAAACATGTCAAATGAGTATTAAAGCATAATGATTTAAAATATAAAACTTTTAATGGGATCAAAACACTTTTCAAAAGTGCAATTAAATGTGTTAAGAAACATTAACCCACAGGGCCTATATCACTCCCAGTATACTATACAAGATGAAAACTAGATCTGATCCTTACTGTCATTTATGTAATAAATCTACAGTTGGTTCTTACTTGCATATGTTTTGGGAATGCCCAGTGTTGGTTCCTTTTTGGAAATTTGTATGTTCTGTTCTTTCGGATTTCCTGCACTTGGATATACCTCGAGATCCCCTGCTTTTTCTATTGTTAGACGATTCCATTCTCCAGCTAAATGCTCATCAAAAAGGGACCTTATCAGCTGCAAGTACTGCTGCCAAAAAGACTATTTTGAAGTTATGGATAGAACCATCCATTCCCACAACTTCTACCTGGCTATCATACTTCAGAGACATTGCCTTGCTGGAAGGTACCACTGCCAGGCTCAACGGCGCAAAAGACAACACTATTCGGAGTTGGGCAAATATTGCTGTGATGTTGCTAGATAGGCTGGAAAGTTGACATTACTGCTATGCATACTGTATATGAATTTTATTTCTTTTATTTTTCTTCCTCTCCTTTGGTACAAGTGGACAGCTTCATGGCATCTGTTTGTACATAGTTCTCTGGAACTGTGAATTGTGATATATGTTTCTGATGTTAAACTAAATCTGAATAAAACATTAGCCCTTTAAGTGTACTTAAGTAGATAATCTATATGTTAATTGCATATATACAAGGCATATATATTGTTTTTAGATTTAAAGTACACTACAAGAGCACTTAAGTGTACTTCTTTTTTACATGACATACAGCTCAGTTGATTGTCTCAAAAAAACCTGACTGAAGAACTGTGCACTCAGATGACAGTTTCAAAATCAAGCAACTGCCACTGAGATAAACAGAAATGAGTAGTGTTTATCTGATGTTGAATGTATCTTGTTAATGTTCCTGGTGTTAGAGCTTGAATCTCTAAGGAATCCTGATTTAAGTTGCTGTTATCGTGTTAATCATCCTGTTTCACTTCTAAACTGCTGCACTCTATCTGTCTTTGAGTCATGGTTGTTACAAGCAGAAATTAGGTCACATCTTCATTCTGGTTATTGACCAGAACAGACCGGTTATCAGAACAATGGATGGACAGGGTAAAATCTCTCGGATGACTGACTCCTTTTCCTCCAGACTACAATTTTTTTACGATGTGACTTAGAGACAGCCTATGTGAATGCAGATGGCCTCTTTAAAATGTATGGCCTCCGGTCAGATCTGGAGAGTGCTAATCCGCCTTTCCATTTCCTCCACCGCTGTCTTTTATCTTCTGATGTCCAGATGGAAGTAGGAGCGTAAATGCCAGGCCGCCATGCACTATCCAGTGTTTCACATATTCTCTCAGTCTTCATCTTTTCAGGTCACTAACCAGGTGGTTAGGTAGCATCCTCCAAAACTTTGATGTTTGTGATGTTTTGGCTCCAGACTGCTCATTTGATGTGTGAATCTTCTGAGCCAGAAAAGTTCAGGGATAAAGGGAAAGGGCACATTCTTAGTTTTACTTTTGGTGATGTTTTCGGCACTGTGTCTGAACTCAGAATAGCTTGATAAAGACAAGTGTTTGATGTGTTTTCTTCTCTTGAACTCATGCTATCTGATCCCCTTCAGTATCATTAAATCTCCAAGCTCCCTTGATGAGTGTGTGTGTGTGTGTGTGTGTGTGTGTGTGTGTGTGTGTGTGTGTGTGTGCGTGCGTGCGTGCGTGCGTGCGTGCGTGCGTGCGTGCGTGTGTATGTTTTCCTACAACTCTTGAAGGGAAAAATAAAATATGTGACTTTGGCTGGTATAAAAAGTTATAAAGCAGTTTTCATCTTCGTTGAATTTAGATATAATCAAACTACCAAATAAGATGTGGATAACATTTACTCTCTCACTCTATTTTTCATAAGCTCATAGTATTTATTTCATTAAATCCATTATTATTAATTTACATACACTAATTAGGCTTATTGATTGACACATCATGATATCCGTGTATATTCCTGTTTTTGTTTTCTCTTGAAAGCTTGAGACTGATGATTTTTCATAATTTCATTCTTTCTTTCTTTCTTTCTTTCTTTCTTTCTTTCTTTCTTTCTTTCTTTCTTTCTTTCTTTCTTTCTTATGAGAGCTATTTGAGATAGTGATGTGTTTTGACTAATCTACAAATGTAGCTGACCTTGGAACAAGTGCCCTGCAATTGGTGTTTTATATCACTTGTTGCTTGAGACAAATGTCCTAAAATAGTCAAATATTTCCCATAAACAAAAAAAATATTACACATTAGATGTGACTGGACTGTAAAAACACTAATTATTGCACTCAAATATTGGATAGATGTTCATTTATTGAAGCGCTAGGCATCTCAGAACTGAACATTAAATGAGGGGGTGCAAATAAAGTTGCTTCAAAAGGTTCTTCAAGCGATGCCATAGAAGAACCCTTTTTGGTTCCACAAAGAACCATTTAGTCAAAGGTTCTTTAAAGAACCATCTCTTTCTTACCTTTTTATAATCTGAAGAACCTTCTTTCGCCACAAAGAACCTTTTGAGCTCATAGTATTTATTTCATTAAATCCATTATTATTAATTTACATACACTAATTAGGCTTATTGATTGACACATCATGATATCCGTGTATATTCCTGTTTTTGTTTTCTCTTGAAAGCTTGAGACTGTCTTTCTTTCTTTCTTTCTTTCTTTCTTTCTTTCTTTCTTTCTTTCTTTCTTTCTTATGAGAGCTATTTGAGATAGTGATGTGTTTTGACTAATCTACAAATGTAGCTGACCTTGGAACAAGTGCCCTGCAATTGGTGTTTTATATCACTTGTTGCTTGAGACAAATGTCCTAAAATAGTCAAATATTTCCCATAAACAAAAAAAATATTACACATTAGATGTGACTGGACTGTAAAAACACTAATTATTGCACTCAAATATTGGATAGATGTTCATTTATTGAAGCGCTAGGCATCTCAGAACTGAACATTAAATGAGGGGGTGCAAATAAAGTTGCTTCAAAAGGTTCTTCAAGCGATGCCATAGAAGAACCCTTTTTGGTTCCACAAAGAACCATTTAGTCAAAGGTTCTTTAAAGAACCATCTCTTTCTTACCTTTTTATAATCTGAAGAACCTTCTTTCGCCACAAAGAACCTTTTGTGAAACAGAAAGGTTCTTCAGATGTTAAAGGTTCTTTATGGAACCATTTAGACAAAAAAGGTTCTTCTATGGCATCGTGAAGCACCTTTATTTTTAAGAGTGTACTATGTCAAAATTGTTGTGTATATTTCTAAGGCCTCTAAATTATCAACTTGATCAACTTGATCACACATAATCAAAGCCAAAAAACATGTTGTGCATCTTCTGCATGCTTTCAGTCCTATGATTGGTAATTCATAGTTTTTAGCAAGTAAAAGGCCTTTTAGTGTTTGTTTGTATATTTATTTATTACTATGAAATCTATGATGCATTTTATGAAGTCAACGCAAGAATAACTTTTATTTTGTTAGTAATATTTCAAGATTAAAGGTCTTTGCAGACTGAGTCCGAAATTCTCGTCCGAAAGTTTTGCATATTAACAAATAAATACAACCTCACGTTGTGCAAATCATGTTCACACACTGCCTCTTAAACCTTCATCCGTCATAAAAAAAATCAGATCAGGTCCAATTTTCGGTGTTTTCACATATGTAGCAAGCATTTTGATAGGAAAGGATGATGAATATGAAAATATTAAGAAAAAATAAGAAACTGCATACGAAAATGTCAGACTCGGTGTGCAAGGAACTTAACACTTACTGGACTGAAGCAGCTTAGGTTTACTATTATTATCCATACAACATTTTTTTTTTTAAATGTATCAAATATGACACAACAGGCTGTTTTGGCCCCAACAATAAAAATGACAGTTTTGATTATAAAACAAAGCATTTAAATAAAATTTTAATATATGTAACCCTGTCTGTGAAATCCAGGCTAAAGTCTCAAAATTTAATTGAGATAACAAGCATCAAAGTTTGATTTCAACCATTAATGTTTGACATGTCCTTACTTAGTCTACATTAAAGGTATCAAGGTTATATTTTCACAGAATGTTCTTTGCATTATGAAGAATGATTTTATGTAGAAAACAGTAAATCACAAATAAATGACTAAAGCTGGATTTTCACAGGCAGGGTCGCACACACACACACACACACACACACATACTTTACATATGTTGGTTTTTATGGTTTACGGGGACTCTCCATATAATGGTTTTTATGCTATACAAACTGTGTTTTCTATCATCCTACACCTAAACCTACTCCTCACAGGAAACTTTGTGAATTTTTAGATTTTCAAAAAAATAAAAATAACTCACTCTGTATGATTTATAAGCCTTTTTAATTACATGGACACCAAAAGTGTCCTCATAAATCACCTGTAATTTGTAATACCTATGTCATACCCATGCCGTTTTACAAATTTGTATCTTCATAAACCACATAAACAAGCACACAAACACACACACACAGGTTTGTTTTTGTGAAGAGTGGGGACATCCTATAGGTGTAATGGTTTTTATACTGTACAGACCGTATATTCTATTGCCCTACACCAACCCTACCCCTAAACCTACCCCTCACAGGAAACTTTCTGCTATTTCAGATTTTCAATACACTCCATTCTGTGTGATTTATAAGCGTTTTGAAAAGTGGGGACATGGGGTAATGTCCTGAAAAGTCACCTTTTCCTTGTAATACCTATGTCATACCTTTATCATTATGCACACACACACACACACACACACACTATATTTGTCTAAAGGTTCAAACTCTTCTATTTCTATTATTACTATTATTTCATATGTTTGGCTTTAGATGGTTAAATTCTGTTAATAAAATATTTTTCTCTGTTCTCAAATGGGTGGATTATACTCTGTCCACTTGTTCTTTAAACGCATCAATCAAAAGTTTGATCCGGAACATTTAGGGAGGCAAAACTGCTTAGATGGCAGAAAATTGTTGTGAGTGTGCATTTTCCTCTATAATCTCTTGGGATATTTTAAACACGAGATCAAAACCTTCAAGTACTTTAGGGTCATATTTGCTGTGAGAGGGAGGGAAGTAATCACCTATAAATGTACTGCAATGCTGTTAGTTTGAAAGATTAATCAATATCCTTCTGCATCTCTTCCTCTCTGAAAGGTTTTGCTGCTCCAAGCAAATAACATAACAAACATCTTACCCGATATGACAAAATGGAAATGACTATTTAATATTACATACACTTGCACCCATCCATTAAAGCTTGTAAACATATACCGCTATGGTATTTATCTCCAATTCATATCTTCGATTTTGGCAAAGGTACAGTACATCGCTGATAAGCTACAAAAAGTCTTTTGCAACCTTAGTGAACTTGCAAACAGCTCCAACAACTCTAAGCACTATATCCTTCTATATAATGTGTCTTGAAGTTATTTAATGCATTGAGAGTTGGTTTTGATTATGGTATTGTTTGCAGCAGACACTACAGAGTTGATGAGCTTTATTATATGGTTACCGTACAACATCAAATTACACATCAGCGGCCCCAGACGAACTCACTGGTTTACATACAGATTTACACACTGAAAGCAACAAGTGTCAGTCTCTTGGGTTTGCAAGCACAATTTATACTCGCAGTGGAAATACAGAAAAGAAAATGATTCTGAGATTTGAGATATGAGCAAATATGTCATACTGCAGTATTTTTCTGGAGTGTCATATATATAGTCACCTGCACTGCAGAACATCATAGCTTTCATTTATTACTATAGCTTTTTTAACTGCACGAGCAATGAGATAAACCATCTCTCAACTACTAAGGCAATAACACAAATGTCTGTCACAACAATCATAGTACAGATTAATATAGATTATAAGTTATACCAGAACAATGAACACAAGCCTGAATATGACACTCTTTAAGATTCAACAAAGCAAATTCACAACATATATGTTTAACCAATGCTCAATGCTTCAATCCTCAAAGAAAAGAAAAAAGCTCAGTTTTGGACAGTCAACACACACACACACACACACACACACATTCAAGTCTCAAATTCTGTGCTTAAGGACTATTATAAGTCATTAAGTCAGCTACACATTTATGAAAACATGCACACATAGTTTTAAGGCATTGGTGGCCTAAAGTCTGTAGTGTTCCACTTTTCCATTTACTCTTGTTTTCTTAATTTTTTTTAATTATTATTCTAGTTTTGTTTACACAATACACAGATTAAATTTAAAATCCTTTCAAATTCGTACAGTATTACACAAAAGTAATAAAATGTTATCAGAGCTGATAGCATAACTATTATTCATTAAAAATAATAATAATAATAATCTTCTTAACCTGAAATATCAGATAAACAATATCAGACATGCAGACCAGCATAAATCCAGAAGGAGGGGAGGACACACATTTTCATTTGTTTGGTTGATTTTTTCCCTCTTAATCAGAAGACTAATCCTTTGTAGTTCAGCAATAACTTGTAGGTAGAAAACTTTAAATTTAAGCCTGTGGGAGGGTAATAAAATAAAAATGACGATGTACAGTCTATCGTGTATTTGAGTTTTCTGTGACTAGCCAACAGCGACAACCAGTTGCAACACAAGGTTTTCTCCTAGGACTCTAGATGACTTGGAGACACACTTATGTAGGGCGTATGGCTATGGAGTTGGTGACAGAATCCATCCTTTCATTCAGGAAATGTTCTATGAAACGTGTCACCACATTTGCTGGGGTGGAGATAGTGCATGGATTTCAGTAAATGTAATAAATTCCTCTAGACGTCTGGCTACAGTTCGAAGCCTCTGGAGGTGCTTACAGCTCCAGGCAATCAGGAACAACACTCATATGCTTCACAAGACTATTTTTAAACTTCAGAACACCTTTAGACAACATCTTTTATTACTACTATTTTTTTATATATTTTTTGTCAGTTAAGGCCCGTTCACACCAAGGATGATAACTATAACGGTAATGATACATATATAGTTTTTAAATCATTCTAAATTCAAAAGAAAAGTCCACATCACAGCTATAATGACATCAACGCAGAGGAACGATTTTGTTGGAATCACTTCCAGAATTTTTTTTTCCATCTGATGAACAATAAAAACATTAACAGCTAATATTTATAGATAAATATGGTATGGATGCTAATATAGTTATCATTATAGTTATCATTCTTGATGTGTACAGGCCTTTATTCTTTTTATGTATACCATTTACCATTTACATAAATTTAACTTAACAATGTTTATGAATTACTTAAATTTAACTCAATGTTCTGTCCCTGCTAAGTTATTAAAGGGATAGTTCACCCAAAAATGAAAATTCTGTCATTAATTACTCACCCTCATGTCGTTTCAAACCCATAAGACCTTCGTTCATCTTTGGAAGACAAATTAAGATATTTTTGATGGAATCTGAGAGCTGTCTGACCCTGCATAGACAGCAATACAAATGAAATGTTCCCAAGTCCAGAGACGTAGCAAGGAGATCGGTAAAATAATCCATGTGACATCAGGGGGTCAACCGTAATTTTACGAAGCTACGAGAATACTGTTCGTGCGCAAAAGAAAAAAAAAACGACTTTATTCAACAATTCGTCTCCTCCACATCACCCTGTAGCGCCTTTTTGGAGAGTATCAGCTGGACGTAAACAACGTCTGCTGTTCTGTGTCAGCTACGTAACAGGTGTGGGGCTGATGGAGCGCACAGCGCTGCGAGTTAACGCTGATTGCTCCCCCACGTGCAGCAGACGATGACAGGATCAAAACAAACCACCACGTGTAGCTTACAGAGACAGAACACGGGTGAAAATCAGAAATAAGTTGGTGAGAGGTGCCGACCATGACAGAATCCCTCCCCTCAGGCATGCCTCCATGTCACCATGACGCCGATGGAATTGGTCTATGAGAGCGTGATCCAGTATGTCACGAGCCGGAATCCAGGATCTCTCCTCCGGACCATAACCCTCCCAGTCTACCAGATATTGGTGACACCTACCCCTCACCTCACATCTAGGAGCCATCGTACAGTGCAGGCGGGCAACCCTTCGATGAGTCTGGGAGGCGGAGGGGCCGAGGTCTGGGGTTGGAGGGGGGAGTGAATAACGGGCTTGATTCTAGATAAATGAAATACCGGGTGAATTCTTTAAAGTATGGGAGGAAGTTTGAGTCGAACCGTCACCGGATTAAGCACTTTAGTCATGACATAGGGTCCAATTAATTTAGGTCCCAGTTTACGTGCGGGCAGCTTGAGAGGGATTTCTTGGGTAGACAACCAAACCTTCTGACCGCATACGTAAAGTGGGGGCTTAGAGAGCTGACGATCCGCCGACGTCTTGTTCCTCTCGCCTGTCCGGATAAGGGCTTGTCTGGCGATCCTCCATGTCTGGAGGCATCTTCAAATAAACACATGCACGGATGGAACAATGGCATCGGATTCTTGTGAGAAATAAAGGGGGCTGGTAGGCTAAACAGCACTGGAATGGTGACAATCCCGTAGACGACAAGAACGGGAGGAAGTTATGTGTGTACTCGACCATGGCTAATTTGGAACTCCAAGTCAATGGTTCTGCTGACGCCATGCAATGCAGGACCCTCTCTAAGTCCAGATTGGCCCGCTCGGACTGAACGTTAGCCTGTGGATGGTAACCAGAGGATAGGCTTGCTGTCGCCCCTAGTAATTGATAGAATTCTGTCCAAAATCTAGATGTAAATTGGGGACCACTGTCAGAAACCATGTCCACTGTGAGGCCATGAATGTGGAATACGTGATCAAAGACAATGACCGCTGTCTCCCTCGCTGAAGGTAGTTTGGGAAGGGGAATAAAATGAACTACCTTCGAGAACCTGTCTACCACAGTGAGAATCACGGTATTGCCACTAGACGAGGTAGGCTTGTGAAAAAAGTCCATGACAATGTGGGACCAGGGTCTCGAAGGGATAGGCAGCGGTCGGAAAAGCCCTACTGGGGGCCTATTAGAGCTCTTACCCTCTGCACACACTGGGCAGGCCAATACGAACTCCCGAGCGTCTCGCGCTACCGACAGCCACCAGAACAGCTGCTTAATCAGCGCATGTGTCTGAGCTGCTCCTGGGTGGCAAGCTAGTCCAGAAGAATGGCCCTACTGAAGGATGCTGGTTAGAACTAACTAACAAATAACAGACCCTCGCGGGGATAGTGACGCCATCTAATGCCTCGCGGACCCTGGACTCCACCTCCCAGTTGACCGTCGCAACCACCCGGTTGGGTGGCACGATGGGCACTGGAGAAGAGGATTCAGTCTCAGCTTCGAAGATCCACGAGAGCGCATCAGGTTTACCATTCTTACTCCCCGGGCGATAGGAAATGTTGAAGTTAAAACGCCCGAAAAATAGAGCCCCGCGGGCCTGTCGAGAATTTATTATTTTGGCAGAACGGATGTTTAAGTACGGACTCAAGATTTTTGTGGTCGGTTCAAACCAGAAAGGAACCCCCACACCTTCCAGCCAGTAATGCCACTCCTCCAAAGCCAACTTGACAGCCAGTAACTCCTTATTCCCAATATCATAGTTCCATTCCGAGGGGGTAAGACAATGAGAGAAAAAGGTGCATGGGTGTATCTTGTCGTCAGAAGGTGATCTTTGCGACAAAATAGCCCCAACTCCCACCACTGAAGTTGCCACCTCCACCTCCACTACAAATTGGCGAGATGGGTACGGGTAATTTAAAATGGGGGCCGAAGTAAAGCGGCCTTTAAGTTTTTCGAAGGCTTCCTGAGCCTGTTCAGACCAACAGAATCGCCATCGTGTGGAGGTGAGATTAGTCAGAGGCAGGGCGATTTGACTAAACCCTCGATAGAACTGCTTGTAAAAATTGGCAAACCCTAGAAATCGTTGAACCGCTTTTCGACTGTCTGGGGTGGGCCAATTAGCAACCGCTTCTACTTTGGCAGGGTGCATTCGAAAGCTTGGCGAATAAGCTGCTGTAACACTAGCCTGACGTGCTGGACGTGATCACGCTTGTTCTGGAGAAGATCAGGATATCTTCGAGGTATACAAACACGAACTGGTTGAGCACGTCTCTGAGCACGTCATTAACGAGTGTCTGGAAGACCGCGGGGGAGTTAGAAAGTCCAAAGGGCATAACCAAATTCTCAAAGTGACCTGTAGGAGTGTTAAAGGCAGTCTTCCATTCATCCCCCTTCCTAATCCGAACAAAGTGGTAAGTGTTGCTTAGGTCTAACTTCGTAAAGATGAAAAAAGGTGCCCTTTAGGTGGAGAAGTGCCAGGTAATAAATCTATCGCACAATCATGCGGACGATGCGGAGGGAGAGATGAAGCTTGGGACTCACTGAATACCGCTCTCAAGTCATGGTAAGTCACCGGAACATTCGCCAGGTCTACAGGCTCCCTCGGTAACACAGAGACAGATATGACAGGGGATGACACAGACACCAAACATTGACACAAACAAAATGGACAGCTGGGAGAGTAGTCCGGCCACCAGAGGGCACTAGAGCAGCACTCACGCTTACCGTGCGCGACCTTTCTCCAGAGAGAGGTTGCCTCTTGTGGGGGCAGGCTGTAACCATATGCCCCGCCTCCCCGCAATAGAGACACAACCGATGGGTGATCCGATGCCACCGTTCCCGGGCTGTGAGATGAGCACGGCCGATCTGCATGGGTTCCTCTTCAGAGAAACCAAACCGTGGTGACATGACACCTCTAGCACCGGGTGGCAGATCAAAGCTCCCGTGCCTGATTTCCATGCTGTGGTGTTGCGACCTGAGCGCCAAGCGAGAATTCACCCGAGTGTCGAGTTCGACCAACCCATCGAGTGAGGGAGGCAGCTCCAGGGAGTAGATCTCATCCTTGATGTACTCAGGCAGTCCAGGGAGGAAGTGGTCCCACAATGCCATGCTGTTCCAGCCGCAAAATGCGGCAAGCGTGCGGAACTCGATGGCGTAATCCGACAAGATCTGGTTCCCTGTCACAGTAGCGAGAGTGCTCATGCTGCCTCATTTCCCTGAGCTGATCGCTCAAAGACCTTCCGTAGCTCCTGGGAGAATTTAGTGTAGGAACTGCAGCACTCATGCTTCTTGTCCCACATCGCCGTGCCCCACACTCTCACGATTCCGGCCAGGTGCATTATAACAAACGCTACCTTGGATTAGTCAGTGGGGAAACAGGAAGGTTGTAATGAGAAAGTCAGGGAGCACTGTGACAAGAATGAACGGCATGATATGGGCTCACTAGAATAAGGAGCTGGTGGATTTAGGTGAGGTTCGGATCTGCGCGGAGTAGATGCCTCCTCCATATCCTCCTGTTGGCGTCCTAGAAGGATCCCCTGCTAAGCGAGAGCGTGGCAGACCTCAAGGTCTCCAGCTGAGTACATGACTGGTCGGTATGTTCTGTCTGAACGCTGTGTATAAAAAACAGGAGGACTCAAGTGCTGTGCCAAACAGAGGAATGAAGTTAATTTAAAACTTTGGATGATAACATAAAAAAAACTGAAAGCACAAAGTTCAGGGAAAAAGGAGAATAGGGAGAATTCAGGGCTCCCAGTGCCCACACCAACTGGACAGATGGCTGGGAGGATGACTGAAAGGAGTTCAGTCTAGCACTCCCAATCCGGACACGCAATCCAGTGGATTAGTTCATCCTAGCCTGAGGATCCTGGACACAGTGCAAAAATTATTAGAAGAGAGGATACCTCCAACAAGCAAGGTAAGAGCAAACGTAACACAAAATGACATACCGACACAGAGAGATGACAAAAATGGGAATAAATAAGGAAGGGGAAACGAGTAACAGGTGCGGGGCTGATGGAGCGCACAGCACTGCGAGTTAGCGCTGATTGCTCACCCACGTGCAGCAGACGATGACAGGATCAAAACAAACCACCATGTGTAGCTGACAGAGACAGAACACGGGTGAACAGCAGGAATCGGTGAGAGGTGTTGACCACGACATGATGGGTCTCTTCACCAGTGTTGCTCTGTACAAATTATTTAAGATATATTCACAAGGAAAACACGAGTCTACTAAACAGATTGCAAAAGAATAAATTAAGATAACGGTATCTGAATTGTTGCATTATAAATGGTACCTTCTGTATTTATTTACACTTCTTGTTGATTTGCTCTTTGGAGAACATAATTTTAATTAATTCTCAAATTATTTGACGTAATGAGCATAGGTTTGCTATTTGTTTTAGAAAGCACAATCTGTCATCAGCTTGCATGAGCCTGTAATAGATCATGAAGCTTTCTGAGTAAAATCTGTACACTACCTTAATAACAGATGCTGCTTAAGCCTGGTTTCAAGGCTGTTTTAAGCTGCCTGCAAAAGAGATGAATGTTTTAATACATCATCTAAAAATAGGTTTAAAAGGACCTTTAGGCTTGACCTGTGCACTCTGCACATAAATCTGATTTGTTTTCAAATCCAGTCTTTTAGACTGACTGTAATTGTGTCATTGATGAAATTTGATCCCTTTGTACAGATACTTTAGTTCATACCCGGTGTATCTAAACAAGTTGCTTTAGGAATCATGTAAGAGTCCAGAAAATATCTTGCTCTCATTATGAACTCCTGAAGAACATGAGTGGCATTTTATATATTCATGCGTATAAACATAATGAGAGAAAGTATTCATACAAATCTTGAGACAATACTGCATTTTTATGATGTTACAATTGATTTATCACACTCTAAAAAAATGCTAGGTTACTTTTTCAACCTAAAAGCTGAGTTGAGACGGTTGGATAACAGAATGGCACTTGAGAGGAAAAATCGCTTTAAACACAGAGGGTACAATCCTGTCAATTCACTATAATACACAGTTTATTCCTGACCTTCAGTGTTTATTACAGGCTTTCAGTCTGTGTTTCTTGGAGACACTCAGCCTGATGGTTTGGCCATACTGTTAGTAGTGTATTCGTTGGCAGGAAAAAATGTGAATAAAATAACTGGTCAATTTTTTTAAAGACTCAATATTAAACGATTCAAAAGCAGTTTTGTTTAACTGTATAAGCGGTATAATTATTGGGTTTCCATTCTTTTCTGCACTTTTCCTCATACACATATACGGATTTATGTTTGTCTATATTTTTTTCCATTTTTGGGTGTTTTTGCTTAATAAATGTTCACCTTTTGATTATTACTGTTGCTGGCATTGTTACTGTAGTGATTATGTGTGTACATTTAATTTCCAACCAATATTGAGTTCATCTGAAACCAGCAGTATAGTAATTTTTAAACAATAATTGAGTTAAATAAAGCCTAATATGTTGGGTCAAACATTTAATCCAACCCAGTTGGGTCAAAACAACCCAGCGCTAGATTTGTTCCTTTTTGACCCAGCGCTGAGTTGCCAAAATGACCCAAATTGGGTTGTTTTTGACCCAGCATTTTTAGAGTGCAGAAAAAATGACTTGAAATCCAATCAGACCGAAATGCATTCCAAGAAATTCACATTTTAAAACCACATATGGATGTCGTTTGGATGGGGTTTGTAGAAATGCCAAAAATCTGTCTTCTGTCTGTGTGAAGATGTCTGCCTTAGTGTTTTTTGTCATATTGACTGATGAGGCTGATAAACATTTTTATTTTCATCACGCTGTCTACAAACTTTGTCCGTGACAAGGTGAAGCATTTCGAGGAAAGACTACACTACTGAGAGGTTGTGTATGTAATCTGATGAGAACACTTGAGTTGACTGTTGGTCAAACACCATGAAGCATGTGGTTAGTTTAGGCTTCAGATTATATCCTATTAATCAGAAAAGAACTGTGGGCCACAACAACGCAATGTGTTCAGCACTCACAGACGTCTCAAACGCACCTCGGGGAAATCAGAGTTTAACAGCCCTTCCATTTTCAGCCGTAGCACCCAACCTCAGAGCATTACAACAGTGAAACGCCTCCAAACGGAGGCAGGCGCTATGATGTCTGACTAATTATAGAGAAACAGCTCATTTCTGAAATTAACTTTTCACAGGCATAGTCGATCTGCAAATGCTTATTGTTTTACTGGATTTACCTAGCAGATGTTGTTGCTGTCTGTTCTGCCGTATTTATTTAAGTGTTTAGAGTTTAACTGATTCCACGTTCCACTAATCCGAAACCTTTATGTCAGATGTTTCCTTCGTGAGAGCATCTCCTGAATGACACTAGTCTGTATTTGTGCTTGAAAAACCTCATGTTGGTCTATCATGGGCTATTAAACACTGAATATGCAATAGGGTCCATATTATCCTTCACAATTGACATCTGTGCAGCCTACAGCAGGCTATGATCCATTTTACTGTTGCATTCACAGTTCACTAAGCATTCAAACACAAATTCGCCATGTGCTAATTCTCTCACTTTTGAACTCGTTTATAAACGAAGATGCTTTACAAGTTGTAGCACGCCAGTTGTTTTTAACAAGAAACAAATGTTTTCTCAATCTGGATCCAAACCTGAGGAAGTCAGACATCTATTTCGCAAATGTCTTCACAGGAGGATC